TTTTTTTTTTTTTTTTCCTCCCTTTTTTCTTTGTGTCTCTTGTCTGTCTGTCTGCGAGGTAGCAGAGCAAGGTAGAGAGGTTGTGGGCAGCTGCTGACGTGGGGGGCCGGTTTGAAGAGAATGCAACTCCCCGCGGATGCAGCGATCCGTGGATGAAAGAGGCGCCGGGAGGCGGCCGCCCTGCGCCTGGGCGCGCTGCCTTTTCCTAGGGTTGGGGGCTTGGGGGCTAAGGGTGTGCGCCCCGGCGAGGTCGCCAGCCCCTGCTGGGGAGCCTGAGGCTCAGGCTCCCACGTGTCCGGGACTCAGCGCCGCGCAGAGGTGTAGGGAGAGGCTTGGTGCCCCGCACTGCCTCTCCACTAGGTTGGGGAAGGGGCCAGGCGCCCCTTGTTTGCCCCCGGGGTCTGGCTCCTCATTGACCTTGCGGCTGGTGTCCTGGGGCTTCCTTCACCCCGCGCCCCCACCCCAACGGCTCTCCCGACCCTGCGCTGGTCATTGCTCCTGGGTCACGCCTTGGCCGCGGCAGTTTTGGAGGAAACTTTGGCCCGGTCCTGGACTGACCGTCAGGTTGCTTGCCCCTCTCCTGGGTTCCGAACATCTGAAGTCCCCCGGAGGGCCCCGGGGCGTGTGGCAGTGAGCCCCTCCCCCAGCCCTCCGTAGCTTAGGCAAGTTACACATCTGAAATCTGGACTGGGGGAGGATCGAGGCTCGCCCCTTCCAAAAGGCGCTAAGGAAAGTTTGGGACCTGGGGAGGGAGGGGCGCCCTCGAGCGCGGCGGCCGGGGGTTCACTGCTCGGCCCCGAAGCCCAACAGGTACAAAAACCTTCCGAGGAGGCTTCGGGGTGACGCGGCTCGGCCCGGGGAGCCGTGGTATCTACACCCCCGCCTCACCCCCGGCCGGCTCCCTCTGGGCCACATTGGCTCCGAAATCCTTTTTGCTTTCTTTCTTTTTCTTTTCTTTTCTTTTTTCTTTTTCTTTTCTTTTTTTTTTTTACGCCTCCGAGTTGCCTTTCTCAGTACAGCCACAGCAATAATTTGCTTTTATAATTGCAAGGGGGGAGTTGGAAACACATTTCCTTCCAGGGAAATGGGGTTGGTTTTTTTTCTCTTTTGCCTCCCGCGTTCTCCTTTCAGTGTGTATGTATCTAACACTTTCAGCAGACGCAGCCCCGAATTCTAGCTTGCGTTTGGGTGGGTGGCAGAGGAATAAAGCTGTTCTTTCCATCAATCAGGCAGGGCTGCGGGTGTGAGATTCCTTGACAGCGTCGGGGACTGAGCGGCCCCTCTGCCCGGCTCGCCCTGGAGCAGTTGTTCAGGCGGCCAAGGATATGGTCTGACGCTACCACTGGTAACCTCAGGACATCCGAGCCAGCCTTGTAAAAGATGGCTTTTGTTTGCAGTTGGGTATTTTTAGTTTCATGTCAGCAAACTGCAGCCGTGTTTGTCTCCTCACCCAAACCGGTGGTTGGGAAACTTCTAAGGGAATTTAAAAATGGACCTCGCTTATGTTCTGGGCAGCCGGTGCGGTGGTTCCAGTGGGCAAGGCCAGACAGACAGCAGCATCCTGGAGGCCAGGCCAGACTCCGCCCCACAGACTGGGGGACTGGGTGACGTGCAAGTGCACTGGGGCTCAACCAGTTTAAACAAAGGGCCCAGGGGTTTGGTCTAGACTTCAGATATGTGTTTAGGCCGCTTAGAATTTTGCCTGGACAGAACATGCCGGGTAATTGTCTGCAGAAATGCCAAGGACAGGACGGATATTAGTCTCCAATGCGGAATGCACTTGAACTTCTCCGTACCTGTTAGTCGTCCAGGTACTGATAATACCCCCACTCGCCATGGTTTTCATGCAGCCGGTGCTTTTTCTTGTCTGAGAATTCGGAAATAACTTTCTAACCAGAGACACCAGGAAGAAGCTTGTCCTCTGTTCTCAGCCTTCGCTTCCCTTCCTGGCCCCATTTCCTTTTAAGAAATGGCATTTGCTTATTATTCATATCTATAGGAGTGTTCTCTCCTGACATGTTTTCCCAGCCCATAGCAAGTTCCACTGTCAATACCTTCTATTGAGTGTGCAACTGAAGATGGTCCAATTGAGAGGTCTTCCTTATGTTGAATTACGTATGGTTCCACGAAAACTCCGTGCCATCAGTTTATTATGACATGGGCCATAAAAATATGCTTCGAAATCAATATTAAACATGTTCCTTTCTCCCCTCCCCCCCATCTTATTAAACTTCACGGTTGATGACAGCTGATGCTAAATCTTTTGTACTACTTTGAATTTCTTTAAAACTTAGCCGGATCTCTGCTTCTTTGAGGATTTGGGGTCATTGGTGGGATGATCCTTTGGCCTGGCTGTGCAGTTTCAGTCTTGAAAGATCACCCGGGGAGAGGCATAAGGGACCACGCCATGGCCCAGATTGTTGCTAAAAATTTGGAGCCCTCCGGTAGGAGTTCCGCATTCCTGTATCTGAAATAGAAAAATAGTATTCCGAAAGAAATGGATTCCGGGCTTCATCGGTACCTTGAGAACACCTGGAGTGTGAGAGGTGGGGGAGAAAAAAGAAAGGAGACAGCTGGCGATGGGAGGGCTGGCTGTCTCTCCCTCGGATTCTAATCTGGGGCCCATTGTCTTCTGTACTTTTCTAGTTCCCAAGCAATTCATAAACTTGAGTAGTTGATCTTTAATTTGGTTGGAGGGTTCAGGAGAAGTGGGCCTTGTCAGTAAGGCAGCTTTCTTTAGATCTCTGACATCTGAGTTATAGTCCTTGTTTATGTCAGGTTTTTTGGTTTTTTTTTTAATGTCTTTTTTTTTTTTTTTTTTAAGAGAGAGAGTGTGTGCACAGCTTGTGCATGAGTGGGGAGAGGGAGAGGGAGGGAGGGAGGGAGGGGGAGAGAGAGAGAGAGAGAGAATCTTAAGCATGCTCCATGCTTAGCTCAGAGGCTGTTGGGGGGGGGGGGCGGGCGGGCGGGCTGTGCGCTTGGTCCCATGACGGTGGGATCCTGACCTGAGCCAACATCAAGGGTATGGTGTTCAACCTACTGAACCACCCCGGTGCCCCATGATTTTATTTTTTAGTCATCTCTACACCCAGTGTGGGGCTTGAATTTACAACCCCAAGATCAAGAGTCCCGCACACTCTACCGACTGAGCCAGCCAGGCACCCCAGGATCAGGTTTTAGCCCCATCCTAATCCCAGTGTTTTACGCAGTGCCTGACACATAGTAGGTTCCCAATAAAATAATTGCTGGGGAAAAGCACGAATAGCTCAGCTCCAGAAGACCCGCTTCTCTGGTTTTCAGGAACGTTATCAAGCCTTGCCAACAATGCTGTGTCTGTGAGTCTGGGTCCGTGTGGTGGGCACCCTTCCCTGCCTTCCTGGTCTCTGAGAGCCCCCGCACACATGGATTTGGTTTAAGTCTTTGTACCCCAGGTGGAGCATTCCCCGCAGCCTAGATTTGCTGCCCCGAGGTATGAGGCAGTTGGGGCACTGCTCGGTGTCCTGGGTACCGGGGGAGCTTGGCCTCCATTAGCCACTGACTCAAAGAAACCCATCCACAGGACAAACCCCTTTTGTGGGTGTGAGCAGCCCCTGAAGTGGGTGAGGATGGAACCGCATGCTAGCGGTTTCTGCACACATTCGCGTCCATCAGCAAATGCGTCCTGTAAACGTGCGTCCTGTACAGTAAACTGTCTTGCCTACCTGCCCCGGACAGCTGGGCTTTGATGGAGCTGTGCTCTGCAAGGCAAAGCGGAGGAGGCCCCCGGGGCTGCATTTGTGCCCAGCGTGTGAAGAGAGTTCCTCCGAACCTTCCTTTTGTGTGCTCCCTAGGATTGTGGTTTTGTTCGAAATCGCCTGTTCAAAGAAGAGAAGCCTGCGGAGGAGAAAGCCTTTTCTCTCTCTTTCTCTTCCTCTCTTTTTTTTTCCTCCTGCCGTATGTTTACTTTCACTGTTGCCTGGGATTTCTTTGCCTTGGTCGAAGGTATTGAAAGATTATACCCTTTATTTGAAGACTTCTTGGGTTACCCCTTTGTACTTGTACTTGATTAGATTGAATGTGCAGTGCTTTTGTGTTATGATTTTAACCTAATTGTAAACATAATATGTGCTCATTTTAGGAAATTTAGGAAGTGTGGAAGAGAAACCATCATTTAGTATTCCACCACCCAGAGGCAACAGGTGCTTTATTCTATGTATTATAGAATATATATGTTAAAAAAAGTTGAGATTATATCATGCCTTTTGTACCTGTTTTGATGTATTTTAGACAAGTGCATCATTATGGTGACTAGTTATTATGTTTAAAGACAACATTTAACCTCAACCTTTTTAATCTATAGATTTGCATATGTCTCTGCCATCCTCCCCCGCCCCACTTTGCAGGATGTCAGTCCTGTATCATTTTTATTACTTTTTTTTAAACTGCACACGAATCTTTTTGCTTTTACATGAAATGAATTTGGACTCACCAGTTTGTAGGGCCGGTTCTTAGGTTATCTCTCTGGCGTTTCCTTTTGCAAAGGCAGCAGGAGGGTCTCAAATAGGAGACTGTTACGAATCCTGAAAACAGCATTAAATAACTGAAGGCTAAGACCTGCCCAGTATGGGGACTCCCTTTGGTGGTTGAAACGTTTGCACCTCAGTGAGGCATTGTCATGGCCGCATTAAGAGGAGCCAGATACACATAGGCAGTTTCCTCCAACAGTTACAGCCAATGCTCAGGAGCTCTCATTTCATTGCTTTCTGAAATGAAAGTGGTGGTCAGCGGAGGGGTGGCTGGAGATGTCCGTGGGGCAGGGGACGTGGGGATCCATCCTGCAGCAGCGGGGGCTGCGGTTTAGATTTATCTGGTTGGAAAGTCATTTTGCTTTTGACCAGCTCTATCAGCACAGCCGTTTAAAAACAGGAAGTCAAACACTTACAAGTTCAGGCCCCACCCTTTCCCCCCTCTTAAAATCCACCCACAAGACCCACCTCCTTAACCTGGGGAGGGTAGGTGAAAAAGGCCTTGTGAAAGTCATCGCCAGCAGGCATGTAAGTCCAAATTCTTGGAAAAAACCAGCATTGTTTGGCGTACTCATTTTTTTCTTTTTCGTTTCTTTTCTCTTGAATTTCGAGACCCTGTCTTTATCACAAGTGAAGAGGAAGGCACATCTTCCTCTGAGGTCATTGAATAGTCTGATCTATGAATTAAAAATTCCCGGAAACTTATTTGACGCATCTGAGATCAAATATGATTGATCAAAATTTACAAGCTGAGTTGTGCTTTTTTTTCCTCTGTCTCTTTGTCTGTCTCTCTTCTACTCGGTGCCAGGCCCTGGAGGTGGGTCTAGGCACTTGGGGGTTTCAGTATGGATTTTGGCCCCCAGGGAACTTACAGCCAGACTTGAAGCAAATGCAGAAGTAAAAAAAAAAAAAAAAAAAAAAAAGTAAGCCTGTCAGGTGGTGTGGAGAAAAACAAAGCAGGGAGAGATAGATGGGGGGCGGGGCTTGCAATTGAATATAAAGGTAATTAGGGAATGCCACTGGTGGGATGACCTTGGAGAGCAGAGACCTCAGGGAAGGGAAGGAGCCATCCACGTGTCCATTCCAGGGAGAATGTCCCAGGCATAGAGCAGCAGAGGCCTGCCCCTGAGGTGGGAACTTGCCAGACAGGCAGCACTGAGTGTTCAAAGCAGAGGGAAGGGGCCGGAGCACAGTCTGCTGGGGGGCCTGGGGCAGGCTGGGCGGGAGGTGAGGAAGCTTCTTACTTGCACCTTCATCTTTGGGCAGCTGGTCCTGAGCTTTGGTAAAGGGGTCACCGCACTAATCCCGTTTCTCCTCACCCCGCCCCCGCCCCCCTGGACCACAAAGTGGTAAAAGAGATTTAAGAAACATTTTAACGGAACTGGTGTTGGGAAAGTCTTCAACAAAACGTTCGGGGTGCGATCCATGGCATTCACGACCACAAAGCGCGGTCGCACCCTGATTTCTGCGGACACTCAGTAAGGGCGTAGAGAGGGACTGGGTTGGGGGCTTGGTGATTTGGATGTGGAAGGCCTGGGTCCTGGGGCGGGGCTCCTCTGCTCCCTAACCCCATCAATTACCGTATTCCCTCCATTGTGAGAGACTCATTTTTTTTCGCAATTTCGTAGCGATGAACTTTGACGGTGTCGTCATCGATGGCTTCTTGGCACCGTGCCATGCTTCTGTGGCCAGGCTTGTTCTTTCTCATTGGGACACAGAGTGGCCATTGTCTTAGAGTTGATGCCCTCGGAGGCGGCCACCTCTGTAAATTGGGAAGGTACTTTTTGCAAACCACGGCACACCCCGTGACCTTAGTAAGGTGATGGGAAAGGGCATCCCCCTAAGACGCAGGCTCCAGGTGAGGGCCCAGAAGTGCCGGATCAGCCCTGACTGTGGGCTTCGTGAAGGCTTGGCCAGCACGTAGGCCCATAAGCCTTTTCTGCTCTGCCTGGGGGAGCTCGTCCCCATTTTCAGAGGCTTGGGGCTTGCAGTTCATCTATCTCTCTAACGTTAACTGATAGGGGTCGGGAAGAGCCCGAATGGGAAGGGTGGCGAAGTGACTTATTTAACCCGGGGCTCGACCCTGGAAGTTCCAACAGAAATAGGTGTAGACGTTTCTTGGGGAGACTATCACAGTGTGGATTTTAGTTTCTTTCATGGCCGCTGAGCTCACGTGGCCTTTATAATTTCTCTGGCCCTTTAGAAATGTAGTTGTTTGTTCGCGTGTGCGCCTTCTTCTTCAGATTTATCAGGGCACGGATTCTGTCTCTGAGGTTGGCCCAGAGGTCCTTCGGAAACATTTCAAGAGTAAACATTTCAAGAGTAAACAAGAGTAAACATTTCATCTCAAAGACACCTGTTCCCTCCCGTCCCCTCCTTACCTGAATGTCTAGAGCCCAGACGGAAGAGCTGGGCTGCTTTGCCAGGCCCAGACAGCTTCCGGGTGGTCTCTTCCATTTGTCCTCTAAATCTCTCTGCTCTCCTGTTCTACTAGGATTCGGAGTTCAGAGCTGGAACTAAAAAATGGTCTAAGTATTTTAAGCAGAGGGTATTTAATGGAGGGGATCTGGTGCTTATGAAATTGCTGGGGGCAGCTGGAGGCATAGGGCTCTCCACTGAGCCTGCAGGAAGGAGCCCCAGTTGATAGTACATGTAATTATTTGTGAACAAATCTATATTGGCTGCTCCAAACCGACCCCCCAGGAGTGCAGCTGTCTGTCTCCAAGACTGTCCCGGAACTCCTGAGTCTGAGAACAAACTGAGGCTACTGAGAACCAAGGGTCAGAAATCCTGGTTCCAGAGTTGGAATGATTCCCCACTGCAGCTGCCTCTTGACACCCAGAAGGACAGAGGGAGGACCTTGTAATGCTGTTGTAAAACCTCTCCTGTCCCCATCACCACATTAGCCTGCGAAAAACCGCCCAGAAGGCAGGAAGTTGGTCTCTGCCTCATGTCTTTTTTTTTTAAGTATATGTATGTATGTATGTATTTAGAGAGAATGCAAGTGGGGGAGGAGCAGAGAGAGAGAGAGAGAGAGAGAGAGAGAGAGAGAGAGAATCCCAAGCAGTCTCTACACCGTCATCGTCGAGCCCAGTGTAGGGCTCGAACTCACGAACTGTGAGATCATGACCTGAGCTGAAACCAAGAGTCAGATGCTCCTCCAACTGAGCCATTCAGGTGCCCCTCACGTCTGCTTTCTAAGTCTTGAGTGAGTGCTTCTGTTTGGGGAAACCAAATTCACAGCCAGAACCCTGGCTTCAAGAAAGCCTGGCCAAGTATGGCTTTTGCAGCGTAAGAAGGCCTTCTAGAAGAAGGGGTAGTGGAATGGATGATGAGCAAACATCCACAGTAGTCGACCACACATTGGTACACTGTTGGTGAAGCATCCTTGAGGAGTCATTCCCAATATGTTTTGTTTATAGATAATTTATATGCATTACCACCGTCATCTAAATATCCAGCATGAGGATATTTCTAAACTTTCTACGAGTAGTGATTGCAAAACCACAAGTTCATTATCCTCTGGTTAATTCTGTTGGCCGACACCTTTGCACTCCGATTCTGCCATCCTTTTTACCTTGTAACGTGGCAGATGGAGACTCGGAGGAGTGTGTGTGCATTGTGAGTATTCGTGCGCTGTGGTTTCTTGGCGGGGATCTTTCTAAGCCTCCATTCCATTTTGTGAGGCTCGGTTTAGGTGAAAGTAGATAATATAATCTGTACACCTACTTACGATTCGTTGTAAATGGCGAGCCATGAAATATGCCGGAGCAATGAGATCACGGAAACAGCCACAGAGTCCCTTCACTTTGTGGCTCTCCATCGTCCTCCTCATGACACCAGTGTTTCTTTTTTTCTTTAGAGAGAGAGAGAGAGAAAGAGAGAGAGAGAGAGAGAGATTGAGCGGGGGAGAGGGGCGGAGAGAGAGAGAGAGATTGAGCGGGGGAGAGGGGCAGAGGGAGAGGGAGAGAGAGAGTCTAAAGCAGACTCCACACTCAGCACAGAGCCCGACGTGGGGCTCTATCCCACAACCCCTGAGCCGAAATCAAAGGTCAGACACTGAATCACTTGAGCCACCCAGGCACCCTCACCTGTGTTTCACAAAAGGCATGTTAAGTTGTTATGATGGGTTATGTGGAAGTGTTTGTGTTGATTTCTATTTTCAACATTAAAGTTCTTTTTTTAGACTAAATATGAATGAAAGACGTAACGTTGCCTTCCCAGGGCCCTAGCGTCCCCTAGCCTTTGGAACTCCAGGTCTGGACTTGTCGCGAGCATAACCGGTGACTGCTAGGCCCGCCACAGCCAACTTTGGGTCAGGGTGCTACTAACCTCGTGCTTGGTCTGGTAGTGGGGAGTCCGAGTGTGACCGTAGGTAAGCAGGACAGGTAGCACTGAGATTTCCAGTATCACCTGAAGTTCGTTTCTGACTCCGGCAGGTTCGGGTAGGGATAAAGAAACCTGGTAATGTGGGTGTTGAAGTCCATTTCAGTCTTGTGAGTGGTTATCCTAAACGCCTCGGGAAGAAAACCCACAAAGGCAACTCAAGTTGAAACAGGCTGGTGACTGGGCTTCTGCCTGACGCTGTTAACTTCAAAGAATCGTAGAAGGGGGAAGACACAAAGGCCCCTCCAAGGGAGTATTGTCATATCACACTTTACATCTCTTAACGGTTGACGCACTTTCCCTTTATTGTCATCGTCCGTGGTCATTCGCTATAGAGAAAAGAGCACAGAATTCGCTATAGAGAAAAGAGCACAGAATTTGCGGTGTAGAGACCAGCTTTTGGACCTTGGCCACCTACTGTATCCGTTGGACATCACTCAAGATGTTTTTGTTGAATGCTTGTTAAGCGTTAGGCTTTGTTCGGGGGCTGGAGATATGACAGGGACACAGACAAAAATCCATGTCCTCGCGGTACATTCTCCTCGGGGAAGACACAATAACCAAATGCATGTTTAAAACGTAGAGTATGTTTGATGATGACAAGTGCTACAGAAGGACAGTAAGGCAAGGAAGGAGGATATGAAACCGAAGCAGCCTGGGGACTGCAGTTTGCAGTAGGGATGCCCAGATGAGGCCTCCCTGAGAAAGTGGCTTTCTTTAAAGATAGAAGGAGATGAGCCAGGGAAATAATACAGGTATTTATTGAGTGCTAGTTCTGAAGGTCGACCTGGGCCAGGTAGTTAATATGTTATTTCGCAGAACTTACAAGGTACACACGGTTATTATCATCACATGTTATAAGGGGGCAAACTGAGGCATAGAGCATATCACTCATCCAAGGTCACATTGAGAGGACTGAGGGGCCATGGCTGTCTAAGATCTGTTGCTCTGGATATCTAGTAGGGGCTCTCTGTTGGGGGTTGTCCCCTCCCCCACGTTTGGAAATGTGTCGGGATGCTCTTGATTGTCTCTAGGACTGATGACGTCAGTCTTGTTGGCAGGGCTAAGGATGCTAGGCATCCTGCAAAGGATGGAATCTTTCCGCCCATCAGAGTCATCTTGCCCAAATGCCAATCATGCTT